GTGTAGGTTATCAGAGTGTCACATGTATGTGGCAATGAATATAACATAAAGTATGGTATTCCCGCATTGATAGTGTTTTTCCCAGGAAAATGACTAACTTTCAAAACAATATACGCTAATCCCCATATATTATCCATTGTTATGGTAATTAGGCTCATATTGTTTATCAAAAATGATACATTAGAGGGCCTCTACTCTATAATGCTCTGTGGAGAAGCCCCGATTGATAAATGCTCTGTGGAGAAGCCCCGATTGATAAATGCTCTGTGGAGAAGCCCCGATTGATAAATGCTCTGTGGAGAAGCTCCGATAGATAAATGCTCTGTGGAGAAGCCCTGATTGATAAATGCTCTGTGGAGAAGCTCCGATTGATAAATGCTCTGTGGAGAAGCCCTGATTGATAAATTCTCTGTGGAGAAGCTCCGATTGATAAATGCTCTGTGGAGAAGCTCCGATTGATAAATGCTCTGTGGAGAAGCCCCGATTGATAAATTCTCTGTGGAGAAGCTCCGATTGATAAATGCTCTGTGGAGAAGCTCCGATTGATAAATGCTGAATTAAAAATGCCATTGTTAAAGGAACCACCAGGTATACTTGATAAATGCTCTGTGGAGAAGCTCCGATTGATAAATGCTCTGTGGAGAAGCCCCGATTGATAAATGCTCTGTGGAGAAGCCCCGATTGATAAATGCTCTGTGGAGAAGCCCCGATTGATATCAAGGTGCTTGGCATGATTTTTCTGACTCGCATGGTATGGTATTTGAATTCTGTAAAATACTTTATTTTAGCTTGAATTAATATTCGCTGGAAAGACTTTTTGGGTGTTTTGTATGGAATTTATTTTCACTGATTTTTGACGAGTTGAATATGAAATATAGGAAAAAAGGTATATTCGTTGGATTTTATTTTCACTGAATCATTCCTTCAGCGAAAATTAATTCCAAGCGAAAATGAATTATTTACAGTAAATGGTGATCAAAGAGATATATAGACTTACCGGGGTTATACTAGTATGCAATGACAGATTACCTCAGTTATTTTTTTGGTGTATTTTTATAACGTCTGTATAAATTAATGGATGTCG